ACCTTGAACCGATGATATTGGGGCGAGGAAGGGGTAAAAGAAAGATATCAACATAAACAGAAAGTTTACGGGTGGATGTGTCGGCAGTTTTTCCAGAAAAGTACACATCACAGTAACGCTTTCCCCACATCATGAGTTCTGACTGCATATTCTACATCAATCATTGTTTCATATTCTTTGTACCCTCACGACATTTAAGGGCCTCATTGGATCTTTGAACGTTGGAACCTTGCTTGAGATGTGTGCTTTCGGAGATTATAGCATTGAAATATGATGATGACCTAGGGACCTCACTTCTTCGTATGTTGTCCTCTAGCGCCAGTGACCACGCCAAATTCTGGATTATATCAAAACCATCATCAGATCGTAAGATTCCTTCGAAATCCATATCGCTGGCACGGAGATGATCGGCCGTGTATGAAAAAGGGGAAGGCTTTCGTTGATCCGGTGGCACAGAGTAGTTAGAGATTTTAAGGATTTTTGGTTATGATATCTCATTTACCGCTGGCTGGCTAGTTGGTCCAAGAGTAGGTAATACATGAGCATTCAAGAAGGTAAGATGTTAGCCTATTCTTGCTTCTATAAAATAACAAGATATGTAGGGTCAGATCTTCAATCCTGGACTGGAACCTATTATATTCATTCGGTTGAATGGTTCGACTGGGACCAGACACGGGTTTCTGTCTGAAAATACTCTACAATTACACTCCCCTGTTGATTCTTCCTGACCAAGATGATATTTTTATTTTTTCTTTTAGGGAGAAGGTGCATAATATGAAACGAAACAAGAATAATCCACAAAGCACATACCAATGCTAACAAATACTCTACTACTATGTGTTACACCTTCTCCTTATGGTCAGTCCCGGTCGGGGGGATGTCTCGATTTCTCGGAAAACTCGAGTACGATCCCCGGTGTCCCGCTGGAGTGTTTAGGATAACCCCCCAAAATCAAATCGGTATATCTTTCTAATCGGTTTACGTGTACGTCCCGTGGGCGTTAATCTTCCGTGCCACGGGATATATTTCCCTGTATCCTCGTGTTCGAAATTGATCAATCATGCACCGTCTTCCACTCATTCCAAACCCCGGAGCCATGGAACAGCTACGCAGGCCAGGGGGAGAATAATCTGCCTATCAATCGGCCTACCTGCCTACAACTGCATCTTTTGGCCATGGATTACAGTACCAGAAGGGAGCTCGGGCTTGAGTTTAACCGCTAGTTTGAAAAGAACCTTACCTACCCATGAGTTCGTCCGATAGTCCCTTTTCCGTACGCCCCCGTGGCCGGGACAAACACCGTGGTAGAGTTATATCCCGAGGATATCCTTTGGAAGCGGGGGGAAGGGGGGAAGGACCAAAATATATCCCTGCTCCTGGAAAACTACCAACCTCTTTCTACGGGTGACATTTCTAGCGAGGAGTTTATCAGGAATCTATCAACAAGGTGTATCATTCATATCCTTCTCAAGAATAAACATATGCCTCAAAGTGGGTTTCTTTTGCGGACATAATTATATAAAGTTAAAAAATAGAAGAAAAAAGCATAATTACCGCTTCATCCGGCCGGACTAACCTCGAAAACGAAATGAAAGGCAATTAATTGTAAAGCAGACCTGAATACACTTTTTTTTTATCGCCGAAGCCCTTATTCAAATAGGCTAGGAAATAATTAAATAAATAAAAACAAAAAAGTGAGACTGGTCACTACCACCACCACCATCTGTGTGTGTGCATGGCTTGTTTACCGGGTACCGGAGCAAATTCAAGTACCGGCACTTATTGTTCTCGCTCTTCTACTGCCGTGAGAAACGGTGATGGTTCTGCTTCACTACGAACACTAGAACTTAGTAGTTAGAGTACTTAGGTGCTAGAGATGTTCGGAGGTGTAACAGTAGTAGTCCAATGATCAACTTTTGCGTCCTTCCACCAATCGGACATTCTGGAGGTAATTGACGAGTTAAAGAGACCAAGACCATTGTACTTCCGTCTCTGCATCTAATTTTCATAGTTTGATCTACTCTACCCAGCATTTTTACTCTTTCATTCTCTCGGCGCCGATCACTGATCAAGGGGAACTAACTGCATCAAGACAGTAACTAGTGTGTACTCTAATATCAAGAAACCCAAGTAGGTTACCCAGTGGTGGATCGGTGCGAGTGAGTAAGGACTAAATCGTGACACTTCAAAACGGACCATATCGTCCTGGATGAGGTGCTCTGATACCCATAGGGCAACTCACGCATGTAAGTCCGTAGGGAAACAGTTTAAATCCCTCGCCCCATACTTTACTTGACTCGACTTCTCTAGCAGAGTAGAAGTATGCATACCATCTGCACCGAGGAAAGGTTTCCGATTCTGGAGCGAGCCGTGGGGTGCGGTCGCACCATCATGGGGGTAGGGTGGGAGTTCAGCTGGACAAGGATCATTCACCCGCATAATAGTAAGACAGACATTGGATTAGGAACGTAACAAGATTAGCCTGAGGGAAGCGTGACGGGTCGTGCGTGGAAAATCGCCAGTCGATGTATGTGATGGCATGGCCTCTTTATTTTTTATTTTTTTATTTTTTTATTTTTTGTTGACGTTGGGTAGATTGGCTGGGTAGGACTCGGAAATAATGGCCAAATCATTCTCTACCGTCTCTTATTGATTCTTCAATTGAGTGGATAGCAAAGTCTCCCGGATTATGGGGACCGTTTATCTCATCAACACCTCGATATGTGTAGCTAAGGCATGTAGGTACATACTCTACATACTTCCTAGGCCGTCTTACTTCGCCAGTATTTGAAGTACTCTAGGTACCACTGCTCTAGCGATGCGGTATGTATGTACGACCCATATAAGAAGTGCAGCGCTTACAACTGACTGATTATTCAAGATCCGCATCCATACAAAGGAAGAAAAGCTACGCAAAAAAGAAAGGAATCCCTGGCAGGCGTAGGGCAGACTTGACAGGAGGAGGGAAGGGGAGGAAATAATACGGAGGTCGCCGGTTCGTAGGGCAGACCAGACAAAGCTCGCTTCTTCTAAGTATGATTCAGATCGATACCCCGCCCCTTTCCCCCTACCGTCGGGTTCCTTCTGGAATGATTCCATGCCATGATATGACGTGCCATAACCCTACGGTTTGATCTCTTACCCACATCCTCCTTTCCTCTTCGAATCTGCTCCCCATGTCTCCCCCCATGTCGACTGCGCAATTGGTGTGTGGTGTGGGTGCGTGTGTATGTGTGTGTGTGTGGGCGTGCTGGTACGTCCGTCACACTCACAACTGCACTGAGGAATGCAATGCTGACCAGCAAGAAGGGAGCTCTAATGGTTACCACCATGCCTACATGATGCCCTCGGGTCCACACAAAATAATTGATCTCTCAGCCCTGCAGCTCGCAGCCTAGCATGCCTACATTTACAACGCTGATATTTTTTTTTTTTTTTTGCTCCATCCATCCCCGTTCCGATATCTAATGCCCTGCCCGTTGCTGATGTGATATCTCTATATCATCGAATCGTGCATGTTTATTGTGTTACTTCCCTCGGGAGGAGGGGCAGGTAATGGTTTGCCATGGGTTGTTTGGTCCCGGGCCATGAGATCAAACCCACGATCTTCCTTTTTTCCCATGTTTCCAACGATGGCTGGGATGTGATCAAATATACTAGTACGGTAGGGCAACACATGTAGAGTCTAGGTAACTGCACTGCATACTATTCCGAATTTGTCAACAAAAAGCGGTCTGGGTATGTAGGTACGGGTAAAAACATTTAATTTATTACGAGTATGTACGAACAATTACTGTAGAGTAGATGCGACGCTTTAGAGTATGTCCTTACGCACTCCCCTCTGTTTATGTTGTGGGACTCATCTGCAAAAGAAGCGGGATAGAAGACTCGTCGAAGAAGCCAAGTTCCCCACCACATTTGCTTCCACATGTCGAGTCCTAAGGTCCACTGATCAGCTTCCTAGTTGAGTACCAATATCTCAAAGTAATAAGTTTCATGTGCATCCAATGCATACACACAAACGAATTAAGCCTGCTTGCTCATGCCGTACAACACGAAGCCCAAGACGATAACACCGAAGAACAGATATGGACATGATTCCACCATTAATCTGAAGTTCAATTACCCCAACAAGCCTCCCATATCCCATATTGACCAAATCCAACCCCCCACCTTTATCTTTTTCCAGTCTGTTTCGGCGACTCCTCTCGCTTGGAAAACAAGCAATCATATTCAACGTAGAAATGTCTTAGACATGTCTCACAAGAGCCTCATCTCATTGAGGAATAAGCGGTAAGTATGTATTCACATACCTACATTATGTACCAATGTACAAACAATAACTCGATCAAACGAATGTACGTGTATTGTTTACTTGTCCCCACCAGCATGATCAGTGGTATTTGGGTACATGTCAATTGAACGAAAGCCCGACAAAAAAGGGTTCTCGTGGACCGGACCCGCCATAATAACCAACCACCCTCGACGGCGTGTACCGCAGGGCAAAAGGAACCAATTGAAATTGTATCGAGAGATCGGACGATGGATATACTCCAAATCGGGTCGCGTCCTCTTCCCCCACAAAACTCTTGTTGGTGGTTGTCTTGTATTGCTAAACACTCCTGTTTCGGGAACTGTAGGTTGATTGATGGGTGTCGGCCAATACCAAGTACCGAGTTCCCGTCGCCGATCAAGGCGAAAAAAAAAAAAGGAAAACAAAACCCCATAAAAGACATGGCTTTCGTGTAAATGATAGATGCCGTGGTCTATGCGCATCCATCCTTTCTTTGGTTTTTTCGCTTAATGATGGACGGCTTCACCAATGAAAATCAACACCACCACCACCAACTTTTCTTGGTGGTCAGAAGGAAGTAGGACCCTGTCCCAACCTTTCTTCAACCATTTCCCGCCTTCGCCGTAAGAAGGCCATGGTGGCATCGTTTTGGGATTGCTAGGTAACCGTTCCAACAACTGGTACCTCGGGTTCGCTTGAATAAGGTATGGTAGGTATGTAGGTAGTCAGAATCTCACAGATCGTGGCGGAGCGGGACTGGGGTCCCTAGTTGGTTGGATGATGTGTAACTAATCTCTTGTAGCTGGTCCATGCACGTAGCTATCCGACGGACACAGCCACCAAGTGCAGTGGCGCTAGTAATAATTAAGCCGAGCCACAACCAATTGATGCACGGTGACATGATTAACGACATCATCGTGGCAGAGTGAGAGTAAGGAGAGTAAATGTTCTAATGACGATGGTTATGATGTTGACCGGGCATTGCCAACAGATATTCGATGTACTATTGCAATTCGTATTGTCGGTGAGCTCCGTTCATACATGCCTAGCTAGATCATGACACGTGAACCCACCGAGTTGGGTGACGAGAGAGAACGAGATAGGTATGTACACACTCTAAAAGAATTAGCAGTAGTGCAATAATAGAAGACCGGGAACTCGGAATTCGAGGTTGATAATAGGATAGGTATTGAATCTGCAGTTATCCACGGGCAGTAAGCTAGTTTTCTTCCTATAGTTATGTCAGAACTACCTCCACTAAAATAGCAAGAAAGCATTCTTGACTCACGAGGAAAAGCAAAATATTACGCTCTTAGTATAGTCCAAACATATTGCCCCCTGATTGTTGTTGATTTGCTGTTGCCGAGGTCTCTATCATCGTGAAGGAAGTAAGTAGTTCGCACTCAAGGCATGAGGTTTCATTCCTTGCTGAAATTGAGAGAATGGCTATTTTCCTGGGGTGTGTCTGTTCTTATACTTGGTCTCTTCAGCCCCTACTTGCTCAGCCGCGTTAAAGGCTAGATTCAGCTGATGCGATGATTGTGGTACTTGTGTGTTCTAGGGGTTCATGGGATTGTTTAGGAAGAAAAAAAAAATGTAGCTCGAAAGGAATGGAATGGGCTCTACCACTGTACTATGGGCTAAACCCTTCGGGGTTTAATAGATTCGTGCTCTAGACATATCGAATAAGATCACAATCTGTCCTGTAGATTTCGTCGGGGCCGATGACTGTTTAAAACGTAGCACACACCTGCTGCGTGAATCCCTGAATACCAGCAGAAAAGTACTAGTTAGACCAACTCATAAAGCGCCTTTGACAGTGTGAAGTGTGTGTGTGTGTGCATGTATCAATGTGTGAGGGTCGATCTGGAACCATTTTCAGGGGAATACGTACACATGCAGTATTTATCTTTGCCGCCATTTTGCGACAGGGGGCAAGTTTACGTGCCACTTGGCTAGTCAGATGTGTTTTTAGATCAGAATTCGATACTAACCCGAGTGATGAGTTATGATTCAAATTATTATAAATCTTAGCCAGTAGGTAGGTACGGAATGGTTTGAGAGGGTTTAAGCGTACTTATCTCTCTGACTAAAGGGAATAACGCTTGCCTATGTTATAAAAAAGTTATCATCGCATGATATTAAGTAAGGGGGAATGCGATTATACTAACTGATTTCATAATTAGCCAACACTAATGGAAATGCCCTTAATGTTCCAAATAAGAAATAACAAGGCAAGCTAACCAGTGTTTAATAAACAGATTTGATAGCCCTGAAAACATTAATAAACCCTGGGGTGTTGTGCGCATATGACAAGCAAATGATAATATGACGAGGGCCAGAACAAAATAATCCTGGTCTTACTGGACATGTAATTATAATCGAGTAACGAATTAAGTTGTGCTTCGTGGCTGCATATATCACTATCAGTGAGATTAATATTGGGGGGTATATTCGGCCGAACATCTGCAAATACGCTTCCCAAAATTATGAAAAACCCACGGGTGGGTAAAGGGACGTAATATTCGGTCTACGTAATTTCCTAAATTAAACTCGAAGATCAGCGTAGTAACCCATATCTTAACCAGAAGATATACGAGGGGCTCGCCACACGTGCACGTATACTTCATCACACTCCATTTTTATTAATCCCATTTAATATAATCTCCCTTCCTTTCAAATTATTAACCAACCAACAAGCTAACCAATCCCATTCAAGCTGAAATCATCTCCTTTCACGCTTTCAACAAGATAAATCATTGCTGAATTTATCCGTTATCCAATGTTCCCATTATGGGCCAATGTATGTTGGCCAGAGATGAACCGGCCCAGGGAAGAAAAAGGGAGAGGAGCGGTGCTATAGCTAGGAAGCATTAGATCTATAGAGTGGTAAGGGAGATGAAGGGTATATATCAAGAACGACTTGGGGGAAGCATAGAGGGGAAGATGAATGAAGAGGAATGAGAGGAATGAGATGTGGTTGATCTAGGGTCCGGGAATACATGTACCTTCCCGCTCTAGACCCGGCCAGAATCGAAGTAAAATGTTAGCGGTAATCACTAAGGAGAATACATGTAGTACACACGTGTTCCTTATCAACTTAACCTTGCTTTAACATCAGTTCGTAGGTATGTAGAGAGTTGTTTTGGCAAAAAGAAAAGGTTCTGATATGGCCTGAATCTCTCGAGCTCAACTGCAGAATATTCTATGACCAAACCGTCAGATTGTTCGATGCCTAAAGGTACCCTAGTCATCTGATATTTCAACAACACGGTAACTCTAAATACTAGCACTACATGTATCTAGTAGTATAGATTTCATTTTGATAGCGAGCTAACTGTCTTTGAACAAGAATACGACGGTTTCTACCATGTGATTGGCAAGACAAAATTAGTCACACAATGAATCTTTCTGGTAAGCGCAACTAGCTAGATGGGTGCGTGTCTCTATACCCTGATCAGATCTTTTGGTATAGAGGGTCGAAGTAGCCTCGATATGCGATATGACGGCGTTGTGGAGCACCTTTCAAGGAAGATGCATTGAATGTAGATCTCGAGGACCGACACGATTAGCTTGATCGGCCTACGTAGCTGCTCGATCGGCTGATCATAAGATATATGGCACTGAATAATGAGGTTGGATTGAGAAGGAATGAGCAGGAGCCAGATTAGTTATGACTCAGGAGAAAAGATACCATGATCATTGATGGGTCTCGCTTGGTGCTTCAGGTAGATTCAAAGAAGCATCAGAAGATTTATGAAAGTCCCTTGATAATGGAACCTTACTAATGTTCGTTCCCAAAATTTGGAAACTTCACTCGAATTTCGGCCGGTACCAAACCTTCTTTAGCGTTAAATATATACAAACAGAGTGCACAATACAGCCTGTAGATGTGACGGCAGTTTTGACGGGGGTTCTAGACTTGCCGAATCTGCTATAAGTATGGCACCATAAGGCTATTTACCAGAGCGCCCACTTCAGCTAGTTTTGCAATTTGAACCGCGGCATGCAACGATAGTATTAAGGGACTGGCCACTGCTCTCACTGATCATCACTCGTGTCCCAGAAATAACAAAGGTCACTAGCCTATGACGGTCTTAGATGTTCTTTGGGCGGGTCTAAGATGAAATTATGAGATATTAATTCTTTGAAACTATTCGATGAAGAGCTTTGTTCTGTCGATGCTTTGTCTCGGGGTCGTTAATCAATCATTTAAGCTGTTTATCTCCTGCCATACGCAAGGGTAAACAGACCATATAAACCTCGGTCGATCTGTAGCCGTTGATATCTATTGAGCTGGTAAGTCAGTTGAAAGTCGAATATTGATGGTGAGGAGGCTGTAGTTACCAGTTTGGTTGTTAATCTTTGAATAGTAACCGACCGCGCGCTTTGCGCCACGGTATAAGAAAAGCTTTGATAGGCTTAATCTGATTGCGGTACCTTAGCCTATCATATATTCTGATATAAAGACTTAAGACTGGTGCATATGGGATGGCCAGGCTCGCCTTGCGTCTGAAAATCAAAGGTTCAATAGTCGGGAATAGTGTAAATTCTCGCGAGGATTGAGCTCATAGACAGGAACGCCTATAATAATCAAGGGACTAAACAAATCAAGAAGTTTGGGCTAAATAACCACACTAATTATAAACATATATAGTGATCTGTGGCTTCAATCTAACTGTGGTTTAGATTGAAGATTCTCTACAGTGTGTTTTCTCTAATTATAAATCTAGTTAGACATAAGTCCTGAACTCTCTAGTAGCCGTGGAAATGCATCAATTTTGACGTTTTCCATACAAAAAGTTGCGAGATACACATTATTTGATGCAATAACCGACCTACTCTATGCTAAAGGCATTCCTGTCACATTACCGACACCTTTACTGATGCTTTTACAGTGGTTTCTGGTGTTTCCGGTTTTCCGCCGGAAAATCAATGAAGCCATGCTTTTGGATCTCGAGATAGTTGAGCCCTCAAACAAAATATTTCGTTGGGGCTGTCAAATGATATCTGGCATCAGTGGGCCTGTAACAGTTGGGGAATACAATTTAATTCTTGTGGATCTATTGTTTGGCATATACATTCAGGAAGTTCTGGCTTGATGCTCCTGGTATAGTAGCAGGATGCTCTGTCATGATTTGTTTCATTGGCGATGGCCTTGGTCAATCATGTGAAGAATCACCGGTGGCCAAAACTTATCCCCCATGTGTATGCGCACAAAATCATGTGTGACAGAAGTGTGACAGGTAAAAAAGTCGTTCGTAAAGTCATCTGTAGAGTCGTCCAATTTCCCTTAAAACGACTTTACCTCCACCGAAATATTGACATTTCCCAGCGAGATTTGGGACCCCAGAAACGACTTTCCCGACGACTTTACTTAATATTCGAGGTACACATTTCCATTCCCCCTAGTCGAGACTTTGAACTCATTTATGATCAAGGGGTAGGCCGGAAATGTCCAAGAATTAACAGGAAACAACCTTTTGAACTGTTTTATCTTGCATGCACACGTATATAATATTTAATATGGGGGGAAAGGGACGAGATGTTAGTTAATTAGATAAGCTCGATCGAGTGGAGATGATAGAGAGACGACAAGCTCCAAGACCGCTACGTACACGCCGTTATGTGACCATGAGGTGGAGCTGCGAGACAAACGATTCAAGATTAACAAAGAAGGTTAAAATTGATATACATACTGCTAATAATAAATTTTTATATAGTGGAAACCACCCCGTGGATATTTCTAAAGGTTTGTAGGCGCTTAAATGTGGTCTGTAGACTCCCCAGGGGGTGTCTACAGAGTTGTTCAAGTTGTGAGCCGTTTCTATGCAAGATCTGTAATTTATCTTCAAGGCTTCAGGTTTAAACACCTTCAGAATATCTACGGGATGATTTCAAGTATTATTAATGTTTGTAAATACATTTATATATATATTCAAGACTTTATAGAACTGGAGACCGCTGGTACACTAGGCCTTAGCGCTGGACTAGTGAAAGTATGGTCCACAACTAACGTACATGTAGGTTTGGCACATTTGTAGCTTTGTTTATATGTAGTTAGTGTGATAAGCTAGTAATAGTGACGAGAGTTTTGAAATTTTGGGTAGTTGTGATGCTAAGAGTTGGTTGGTTGGGTTGAAAAATGATTCCTAGCTTGGAATACCATTTGAAACTTTCACAATTACACACATACCCTTCTCATCCCATTGGTTAAGCTATCGTTATATTACCGGAAAGGGTCTAAAACAACACGGTTTTCAATATAATAGACGTGACGTACATGCAGAAACCCAGCGTAAAATGAAACACCTTGCCATTGGCCTTGATAATGAACCGTGACTATTAACCTTCATGGTTCAACCTCTGTAAACTTCACAGTGGGCTATTAGTGGTAAGTTCACATGTACACCCTGGATCTATCGTTGTATACCTGAAATGCTTTTCAAATTAAGCCGGCCAACTAATAACATACATTAGGTAAGTATATAGATAATTAATTATATATAATATATGCCCTGGGGACGTACGTCAAAAAGTGACTAACGTGCTGATCTGATGAAGTCACGATGGTTATTAAGCGCTGCTCTTCTTGTAATAATATGTATCAAGGGATAAGAGGTCAGTATGCCGTCTTCAATCTGTTATTTTCGGGGAATTAATTAAATATGTTCGAATTCAATAGCCGATTTTGATATCGAATTGTGAAGCTCAAGTAAGTTCGTTGGACCAAAAATGAGGTGTGTCATTTTGAGTTGTAGGGAAGTACGTATGTCCATATATATGTTATTTTGCACTACATATAGCTACATATTTATGTGTTATTTTTTTTTATATCATATAAATTGTTTCTAGGTACAATTACTGCATGCAGTCATAGACTATGGCATAAAGACCCATGTATTTATGTGTTATTGTATATCACATATATATATTACACATATACATACATAAGTATTCAATTAACTCAATCACAAGCCGGCGGCCTCCGCGACCTCCGACAGGCTCGAGTCTGAGATTTGGACCCTATAAATCCAGGAATTGAAGATATGATCAGTCCCCGACGGTGCCGTCTCCCCAGTATAGATATTATTCGCTGGACAGTATTTATCCCCATCATCTGCGCCTGCCGCTGCTTCTCCTCTATAAATACCAAACTTCGGGCTGGTATCACCAGTGAAAAGATACACATTCTTCAACCGTTTACCACCTCCATATGCCGCGTTGAAGTTCTGTTGGACGCCGTCGAGATAGAACTCAGCCCAACCGGTACCATCGTTTGCGGTATTGATGACAAAAGCGAGGTGGTGGTTTGTGTTAGCTCTGACTGAAACGGGGCCGGTCCAGACGACTTCACGGTTAGAGCCGGTACCGCCAGGGATTGTATATTCGATTGTGAGGTCGAGATTTTCATTGAAAAAGACGTATAGGGGAATGTTTTGCTGGGGTTCTGCAGTTTTATCCCATTTTTTCCTGAATGGAAGTTAGCACGCAAGCCATAACCTCTTATCAAGAAATATTCACCCACCATTGGAAAATCACCAGATCTTCATACGCCTTACTCAATCTAAAGTTGTACCCAATATAATACGTCTTGTCCACAACGGCTTTGTTCGCACTCGTGTACAGCGCCTTAACCTCGGCCCTTCGAAAGTGCGGATCCCTTTTAAAATGTAAAGAGTTCTTCCCTGTTGCAGAGTCGGGTTCGGGTTTGATGAAGCATGCATTTCCCGCTTGACCATTTAATATCTTGCAGCCGAGTTCTTGACCCTCGAGCTCAACATTGCCAAGAACTGAGGCTGCGTCGCCACCATGGTAGTCAACGAGGAGGGTTGCGGAGGAGAGGAGGAAGGAGGAGAGCAGAACGAGGAGTGAGGAGGAAGTCTTCATTGTTGTTGATGAGGAAATGAATATGTAGTAGGTGGTTCGAATCGATGAGGGGGAAATGTCCTTGAATTTATACATGTCCGAATTCTCTAATCACAAGCAATGCTGTGAGCTATCATTTTGGATTTTGAGCCTAACCCCCGGGCTCTCCAAGGGTAAACTCTGGAGGAAAATCCGCTGATAATAGATCGTGAGCCGAAAGTTGCCTATAACCTTGTATTTTCTTGCTTGTTTAATTACAAGATCGACGTTGATTTTTGGGTAGCGTTGGTACTGATTGAGCCCCACTCTATCACACCCCTTGCGCCAACACCTTCTAGATGGGATTACAATTCTGTTTCCGAACGATAGTAATACCACGCTTTAAAACTAGTGGTAATGACTAAACCCTGGATTAAGCAACAAAGCAGCCAACACCCGACACCCAGCGACCTAACTAACCCTACGTACCTTAGTATCTCCATCGGCCTACATTTAGGGTAGGTAGCACATTTATGCATACGATATACTTTACTTGAAACGTTATACGGCTAGTTCAGTAAGCCTACATGTACTACCACAACGGCCCCACTAATTGTAATTGAAGTACCGACGAAAGGTATGAACCTTCCAATTTCTGTATCTAGAATGGTACGTACTAACCCGGATTGCTGTACTATATCATCCTTCACAGGGTCACATATGGCGCGAAAGTGATCATGAAACCACATACGGATTAGTTTACCTATATTGTATAAATGAGAGAGACAGGCTAGGAGCATCTTGTAATCGACGTTAAAGCACTAGTGATCTGTAAGGTGTTTTGCAATTAGAAATTGTTTGATACGGCGGTGAAGCTTGCAGAAGGCGATTGGGAAAGCAAATATTAATGATATATATATATACATGCGTTCACTTATTTTCACTTGGTTATCTAGATCGCTAGATCTAATACATGTTAAAATTACAACGTTACCGACCATGGGAACTACATTTAATCGGAATTAAAATCACATGAATGATAAGTGTATATATATATATATATGTATATATTGATCACCGATCAGAGAAACAGGTCGACGATTTACCCTCGGCGAAAATTTATACACGAAATTTAACTCTAACCAGCCTTAACTAATGATCGGCACTACAAGATCTCATGATATACAGACTTTTTCTATGCTTCGCCCAGCTAGGATACCTCAATGCGCCTCCGGATAATTACGGATACTTACAAACTTTGAAGGCTCGAAATAGAAACCTGTGCGACATTACAAAGCTAAAAACGTATCAGGATCCACACCATAAGTATATATAATATAATCTTAGCTGCGCTGGCCATGGCCTAGTACAATATATGATGTATAGTACGAGGCTGTGCTGTGTATATGTACATTCATAGTATATATAAATATATATACATGTAGTTATGCTATGAGAGCCTAAGTGATAGAGCTATCAATACATATCAAGCTCTGAATACTACTTCGAAGGGCTATTTCTCACCACTTAATTTTGGTAGTAAATGCGGTTTAAAAGCTGCGCTGCAGCGCTGGTTTACGTCTAAATTCTGGTTTTCCAAAAAAAAGATCTCGACAGGCTAGGCTCCACCGGAATTAACACCTCCTAGTATAGTGGAAATCTGAAAAAGAAAATATCTTCGTTGTAACTGCTACCGGTGGCCTGAGCTTTACCATTGCCATAGACTAAGGTCTGCATGCAATCAATGAATTAAACAAAAAAAAAAAGAAAAAAAGCCTGAGCTTTACCTCTTGAATAACCAAATATCAACCAATTAACATCTGTTCTAGTGAGGGGTTGTTCCGGTGGAGCCTAGTAGGCTATAGGGGATTATATAAGGCGTCTATGTACAACGGTGGGTAATAAATCATCGGACGACCTAGCCACAATTTTGCCTGCAAACGCGTATTTTGGTGGCGTTCCGTCTGATGACTTATTACCCACCGCTGTACGTCTTATGAAAGTATATGTAATCTTAGTAACCAATCCTGAGCTAGTGGTACCCAGTGTTACATGTTCAATACATGTATAGGTATACATGTATCCATTAATTCATGATCAATATTTAGTACTAATGCACACGGATAATTACTTATATTAAATCACGATTAATCCTAGATCTCTACAATTAAACACAGGTTGATAATCAATGCATACAACTAGTACATATATATATATACACGCCAAAAAGGGCGTATATAATGTACTTGGTATATTATCATGTCATGTACATATATGTTCAAAGCGCCAGTTAATTAGATCTCGTGATATCGATTCATACTCTAAACTCTTTATCTAAATATACAGCCACTCTGCAAAAGTGTTCGTGATTCCGATTTCGGAGTGAGACATTTCTCCATATGCAACCGCGGTGGACCATCCAGAACCCCCCAAGAGAAGATTTTCCCAACCAATGGCGCCCAAATTAATGAAGAATAAGATCAATAACCTATCTTCTTTTTATATATAGTCACAAACTATATTATATATTTTTCGTTGTTTTGAATCTCAACTTTAATAACATTAGTATTACGGGTGCGCCACACTGCGCACTGACATGAAAACCATATCACGAACACTTTTGCTAAGTGGCTGTACTTATAAATGCCACAGAAGATTTTGCGACGAGAATTCTGTTCTATCCCTTAAACCGTCAGGCCGATTCCCAATGCCAGCTACTAGCTGTGGCTGGTAAGCATGATCTTGTGAACGCCGTAAGTGAAAGCTATGAGCGCAGCTTCGAACCTCCACTGGCGTGTAAGCATGCACACACACCGCGTTGAACTGAGAATACCTACTATTTAAGGCTAGTAGCTGGCATTGGAATTCGGCCTGACGGTTTAAGGGATAGTATACATTTTTAAAGTACAAATGTACTACACAGCTATACTGAGCTATAGCATATATCTGTCAAACAATATAAATATAAATGAGAGTCTGTTATTTTGCAGGGGGTTGGTTCTAGATCTGTCATGTGCTCTTTGAAGCCAAGTGAAAAGCTTTAATAAACATTAATCGAATCTCACGACACGACGCGACAGCTGTGGTTCAGTTCGGTCGGCGTATAATATAATGGTATAGAAGGTTCATGATCATACCTCCAATTTTCTCTCATTACGCAATAAATTGTCGCCAATTACATCACGTCTCTTCTGGTGTAAATACTGTGTATGTGATAAATTCAAGGGTCGGAGTACGTCGTGGGTGGGGAGTCAAGCCGCGGATGAGGAGTCAAGTTGCGGATGATGGGAGGTTAAGTTACAAATGAGTGGACAAGCATCATAGCACAATTGACGGCCGTATATATCGGAGATGGTCACGTTAGGAAACGTATGTTAAGCTACAATCACCCTCAGCCAAAGCCAGAAGCGTTATCTCTCCATCCGTCTTCGGTTTAGCCACTTTTTGGGATTGTCCTTTCATAGGACCTAGCTCGAATATTGTCTTGGCGATTTTAGTGATCTAGTTATAGTCACAGCGCATCACTCGGCAAATGAACGGAGAGGATGTAGTTTTTTTTTTTTTTTTTTTGTTTAATTCATTAATTGCATGGAGAGGATGTAGTATAACTACATGAATTTAGAACGATCGAAGGTTTAGATACATATCAATGAAATTTAGTCAGTTATTATATCTATATATATAAGGCTATCATCTTATGATTCTCTCTCGTAGAAGCTCCGATCTGATCAAATACATCAGCACTATAAAATTCGTATTTCCATTGAGTTAGGCCCTAGGGCGGTTAACGAATCGTTTAATTTATAAGTACTACTTAGCCCACAAAATTTATACTGGCCACTGTTGTTAGTGTATAGTAGTACTTCATGTACGTATAACAAAAAGATTATCGCTGCTCCAATCTTTGTATATAGAACTGAATACACCATATGCATCGGAATAGAGCTAGCTTTGATCAAGACAAGAATTTAATTGGGACATACTTAGCGTGTTAGAAAACCGACCAGCAAAAAAAAGATACTGCGCATTTTCTCATAAAAACATCACTTACAGAGCACGCGCATATACATATAAGACGAATCACCAAACACCTCTACTAGTATACTTTGAACATCAGGAAAAGAGAAACCGAGTTGGGCCGCATTTTTTGTAAGAAAGGAGAATTGCTGAAACCTTAAACCAAAGTAAAACCATAGAAAAGCAAAAATAGGGGGGAAAAAACCGGAACTCAAAACAAGCCAGAACAGTTTGAAAATCAGAGAAAGTAAATAAAAAGGGTATAATGAAGAGGAGATCAAAAAGGCTAAGTAGATATGAACAGCTAACAGGATAACAAAAGAAAAAGAATAAGAAAATAAATCAGAAGAACTAGTACTGAATGTAACACCCAGGTATAAGGAGTAAAAGAGATCAAGAAATAAATAACTCTAAGAGAAAACAACAAAACACAAAGTCTCTTCCAACCAACCACGCCTCATAAATATTGTCAAACCCAATACTTGAGTGCACATATTTTCTTGTATCCTCAATGCCAACTCCTCTCTTCAGAACGCTATATCTCTGAATCATCGACAGGAGCATTCATATCTCTCAACAAGGCCTTCAAAATGCCACCCGCCTTCGCCGGATTTTTCGGAAAATACTTTTCAGTCTCATGAGTATACTCCCTCAACTGCCGTAAAGTTTTAAATTTCTTCACCTGGCCCCCACCATTCCTGACATCATGATCAATAAGGTCTACCAGATTCACATGGGTTCTCCTCACAGCCTTTGAAACCTCCGTATTAGCATCAAACCGACAAATCTCGAATGAAATAATAAGTCAAGTCTTACCTTTCGGCACTGAGTTATAGTCTCTGGAACTGGGTCGACCCTAACAACTCGACAGAGGTTTTTCCACGATTCAAGGTCATTGTTGTCGGTACCGTATGTGGCGTTGAACTCGTCAATCATTGCACTTCTGAATCGACGGTGAGCTCGGGATCTTGCTCTTCCTGCAGGAGCCCAGTTTTGTGCAGTTGAAAGAAGGTTGAAGTTGGTAATAAGGGAGGAGTTAGGATCAGGGGTGAAGCCCTGGAATCTGGCCCAAAATGCGTCCATAATGTCTGATACTGATGCTAGGAAAACCTATACTCTCGAGATAGAGTTCTGTACTTTGGGCGAGAGACTTTTGCTGTGTGATATTCGATGCTTTGTAGTGTTGTAAATACAATCTGGCTGTGTTGGAGGAAGAAGACCTAACTATTGGATCCAATCTTTATATCAGTATAAAATCATTCATTCAGCGCAAATCAACCACGCTGATGCGGCACATGTGCTAGATCATCTAGAGCAAGTATAGTCTAAGTTGTGCTAGAACACATGCTCAACGAACTTATACACTGCCTGATCCCAAAAGGAGCTCTACCGGTACATTAAAATCGACGAAATAACCTGTGGGACGTTGTAGGTAGATAGATACTTAGCCTGGTAGGTTAGGCAGCAGGAGTACCTTTCACATACCCAGACCCACGTAATCAGGGATATGACATGGGTGAAAATCGATCTGTAGCATTGAAAAATCTTGATCTGGTTACTTCATATGATCTACGATACGCACTAACTACAGGTAGGTACAAAGTTAGTGTGATTTCATATTGTGGTTGTTTCGTGAGGCTATGTTGGGGTTGGATGGGCATGGCATGACCAGTTTTTCATCTTTTATTGAGGGCCTGAATGGTGTTGGGGACGAGTGGGTGGTTTGGTAGGCTTACCATAGGAGAGGCCGGGAATGGAACCCTGGGGGTGATGATTATTCCCGTGGCTTAAAAGTTCGCGAAACCTTGGGTGGCGGATAAGAAAGTTTAGAACCTCTGCAGGGGTCCTTATCGTGCAGGTGAACCTGGTATAGTTCTCCATATCTCCCCTCTGGTAAAGCGATATTAATAATGTGAAAACAAAATTGGGGATATGTTCTTTTTTACCTGCAGGGGTAACCGTTTTCTTTGTTCTTCAAGCACCGCCATAACTCGAAAAATTGGCTAGATCAGAATTACTTGTATGGGATACTTCTGATGTAGATCGATGCAATCCAATCAATTATTCAAGCGGTAGTCCCTGGACGGAGATAGCCAATTTTTCGAGTTTTGGCGGTATACTACTGATGCTTGAGGGTGGCGCGTACGAGGGAAGTAAGCGCTGGCTCCCGCTGCTCCCGCTGTCATTCGTGCGAAGTGTTCCCGCCTTCTCCAGCGCAGCATACGCGCCGCGCCGTGCGGTGTTTTGGTCTAATGTGGAATGGTTTCATCCAAATACATGTATCTGGAAAGCCTATTATATAGATGCCTCTGGGTAAACGGGCTATGTACAGACAGCTGGTGTTGCCTTATTTATCGATCCCGTGATAAGGTGCACGGCCAACCGTGGTACATTGGGCAAGCACACCGACACTTGGCGGCGGGGAGTGTATGCAATTGCAAGTGTGCAATGTGCACATAGGTGTTCCCTATATGTGTTTAAGACAAGTACAACACATAGGCTCATCTCATCTCTTCTCATAGGGGTGCTGAGTTCACATGATTTCATTTTGCGGGCCCATGTTTGCTGAATATAAATTTGTTTAAATTCTTTTCACGAGTGATAGCTTATGATTTGTGTGAACAATCTTCCCATCTATAAGAATCTATAAATCTAGTTCATCCTTGCAAATCTTAATAACGTGAATCTTGCAATGGAGATATTGTGTAGGTGGCTTTCCCTACACATGGTATATAGTGTGGGAAAAAATTGATGAAATCTTTTCATCAAACCAATATTTATGTCAGTAAATGCCTGATTAGATCTGGAATAATTCTGAGTTGGAAGTGTGATTACCAATCCTTGGCGAGCCCTGGAAAAATTCGGGCTTGGTAACAGAATGATCTTGAGCAGAATTTTCTTATGAAAGCTTCAGCCTTGTAGGTTCAAGTTCAAGCCTTCTATCTCGACACAAAATTATGGGTCGGCTCGCGCGTTTCGGAAGGAATACTCGACGTATTCAAGGCACTCTCGTTCAGTGTGCGATGACGGACACTGGGCGTTGACTGACAGGTAGTTTAAGTCAATGAGAAAGACCTTGCCTGTTTTGTTTTTCTCTTTTTGGTTGAACCAGTCTACACCGTACCTAGTGACCGCCAATACATGTACCCAGTGAACGGCTTGAATTAACTCGAGATACACAGGTATGTAGTTCCTGCAATCAATTAAGGTTTGAGGCTGGCGATACAGTAGTGTGCCACATGCACAAGATCCCAATCCTCAAACTGCGGTATTACGCCACAAGTTCGTTCAGCTGTCCAGTTGTCTTCAACAGGGCAGTGCTCCAGAGAATGTACCGTCAGATCACATCCCAACATACCAGTTGATGCCATGAGCCTCATCCTTACCATCCAGGCCCTACCGCCCGTTAGCGCCCGCGATCGTCCTGTATCCCTCAAGTTTTTGGCCGGGGTAATATGCAGGAGATGCTTGAACATGAGCCACTCCCGAGTCCCGTCATTTTAGTGATGAGCTATGCATCTGGTAGGAAGAGAGGCAACAAATAATATTGGCCAACAAATAACGGAAATGATAGGCCGCCGATGACGAAATTTCTATGCGTTACTTCAGACATGGGCAACGAACTCGGCTAGTCATATATAAAATTTAAAAGGATGAGTGCTCCTTTCATTACTCTATTACTCAATTTACTAGATTGCTTTTTCTGAAGCCTGAGGGAGAGAGAGATAGTATTCGCACAACTTTGACAAAGTAAGAACAATCGCCCGAAAATATATGTATGCTAACGGCGTTGATATATTTAGGTCCACATTTGCAGTTAAAGATGTATGTACACGTCCATATATACGAAAAGCACTTATGGATGTGAGTAGTCCGGACCAATCGAACCTGGGGGGCCGTACCAGCAAGCCAGCTTGATCCCTGTTGCATGCAGTATTAACAGAATGTTATCGAATGACTAGGCCTACACACAACTCTAGCTATATCTGTCTGGCCGGTCCAGTAGTTGCGATGGCTTGTAATTCATGCGTCGCGCTTGGTGGTCTGGGATTTGATTCAATTCGTGCTATCGAGCTTAGCTCTCGTGACAATTAATCGACAAGCTAGTAAATTACGGGGTACTAGCTTGAGAACAGCCGCCACAGCATGTATAGATGGTCCTTGATATCGCTAATATCGCTAGTGATACTCATTCATGCCACAGGTATGTATGTGGCATGGCCATATATGGATAGACGGGTAGATATCGATTAGGCACCAAAGACATCCTACCCGATGCGGCAAAGGAGAGAGGCAGACCGACATATCGGTGGAAAAAACTGCCTTGATACACGTATTAGTGCCATGTCTCTAAGAGAAACATGGTAAAGAGGAGTACCTGTATGGTGGAAAAGTTGGATTCCATCATCTCGGGCCCGAACCATGCCCTCCCGCCCCTCTTCACACCCTCATTAGGAGATCATCCCGGAGAAATTTTTTAAAAGTACACTTATTTGCGCCTTGCTTCCCCTTTGAATCCGTGCTCATATATCCCCCTCACACCCCTCTCTGGGTACACAAGTACAAGCAAACGCGAGCAACTGCACTTGACGCTGACAAATACTACATATTTCTACACACCCTCCGCACAAAATCACCCTTACTTCTCTCTCTCCCCTCTCTCTCTTTGCTGGTGTCATACGCGTCTACTCTACACAAACATGGACACATTCTTTGCGCAGTACCCTACTTTTACCCGCCCCTCCACCTCGGGTCTCCTTGACTGCTTCAAAGCCCTCTCCGTATCACAAGCATGGACGCCTAAGGACGAAGAAGACGCAAAGATCAATTTTAGGACTGCGATGGTACAAGAGTTTAATACTCGGTATGGAACAAACGAGAAAGATCTCGAGTCATGGAGGAATCTGTGTAGAGTCTTCGGAATTGGAGAAGACAAAATGCCGGGGAGTATCAAGAAGTGCAAAAAGGTTCTCTTCTTCTTACATATATACCAAAACACACTAGTATTACAGATAATCTGATATTAGGGGTGTACTATAGGAGATTGCAAAGATCCACGTGAACCTTGTGGATCTTATCGAGTTACCACCACCCAGCTCTGGTCCTGTCACGGCAGCTAGGATATTTCCAACATTGAAGGCGCTGAGGAAGTATACGAAGAGAACGAAGAAATACTTCCCTCGGGAAGAGGCAAAGGCAGGTGGGATTTTGAAGAATCTCTTGCGAAACATCTTGCGTTAGGGTTGCAACTTTCATGGTGGTGGGCTTTTCGGTTCGGGAGTTTTTTGGGGTGCTATCTTCTGGGGGTGTAAATTGTTTTGGGGGGCAAGGCGTTTTGGAAAGTAGTTTGATCTCAGACAAACATCTACAGGATATGAAATAAGCCTATCTGACAAGGACTCTGGGCCTGACGTGAAGTCAACTCTCATTGAGTCCCGGGGTCTGAAACTTAAGCATATTTGATATCCTGTGTGTTCGTCGGAGAACGATCCACTTTCTAAAGCGCCTTGTTCTCTAATGCGATTGACATCTCCATACGATGGTAGTTGTAATATTTGTGTTTTAAGTTATTTAGTTGGCGTGCTTATTATATAGATGTATGTAGCTACGTGGTATGTTCCTTCTAGGGGGGGCATACCTAAGGGCACTGGAGCATTTCTACGGCTCCGGGTGAATTGGCGCCCTTGAAGAGTATTCTACTGGTTTACTGGTAGGGTACTCTTCAGGGGTGCTGAATCGCTCGGGATTATAGTGGCTCTGCGTGGGACAAATAAAATTTCTGTTTATTCTCTTCTAATATCGGAACTTCCATGGCCATATAGATCTGGAAATATAAAACTGTGTTCGGTACTATTATGAATTAGGTACATTTAGATCCTGCGAGGTTTCCACGGTTCCGGTGCGGGTGGTACGTACATTATCACAAACTACATGTACATGGGAGGGGGTTGTCATATTCGATGATATGTGTTCAGAATTCCCCTCGATGGAACCAATTCTAGTTTTTGTGATATATGTCTTGCACAACTGTCAATAAGCACGTGACCAGAAATCTTCTATGGCATGAAGGAAATGATCGGATGAATCATGCACTACAGCGCCGTACTCGTATTTCTCTGACGTTTGTGGACGTGACTGATATTGCATGCCATACAAAAATACGCCAAGCTCATGATTTTGGGTGTATGCAATAATGGCCCAGTTCAAAAACGTCAGCGAAATACTAGTACATATATGTATGTATAAGGTAGATGAGACGGAAGCCACACTAAGCACTTTAAATTTAGCTCCGGGTGCTCCAGCTCAATATGCACGATCTTCGATCTTGAACTGCACGATATCGGTTCCGAGGATCCTATCCTGGGGGCGAATTGTGGGGACTTTACCCTTCATGAGGATCAATCTACTAGGTAGAAACCGTCTCTATCACTACTGGCAGCGTCATATAGCAAAATACCTCACACTATTCAGATTCCAAGATCAACAAGATCAATTTTCCGCTCAGCTCTTCAGACTATCAATCACAGAGAGGCAGGACAGGCCGGTGAATCTCCAATCCGCAGTGGCGGTTTTGTTTCTTATTCTCTGACCGTAAAGAATATACAGCTAGATTAGTCAGGAATCATTGATTACTATTTGGATTGGAATGACTCAATAAAATATGGACTAGTCTGGTGTGTAAGAGACAACAGCCTCACGTTACACGAAACCATAGATCAACAGACTTTAAGACCGTGATCGACATCTACAGGCGGTCTTTATGTGGCTATCAACAAGACAATTTGGAAGATGGCAAAGCGAACTTTTAACGAAATCTCAGCTCAAAACTATTTTGTGGGGTTGCAAAAGGGCTGTCGCCACGCTGAGATACTGGACGCATGTTCGCACCCTTCCATACTAATGAAAGAATACGACTTTACTATGAAAATCATCTAGCTTTGGGAGTTGAAAATAGGTTAGAGTAATTTCAGGATGTAATAGAGGCGATTTGATTAGAAGGGACATCTTGTTCGGGAGAGACAGACTAGAGGGGAACCATAGTTAGCAACGTCCAAGAGAGGATAATGTTATCTATGTTGATGATAGCACAGGGCGCGGACCGATAATGTTGAAAGAGAGGGGGTTGATAGGTGAGGGAACATAGGGCAACCACGAGCCCAAGGTCCTGGGTGAAAGGAGCTCCCTTCCCTCCTGTTTGGTAGCTAGAAAAACACCACATGCAACGGAGAGGAGGTATCAGAGGCGTCTAGTAGTACGGGCGTTGGACGGCGTTCAATATGCTGGCTGGATCTAGTGGTTAAGACCAGCCCCAGTTAGGAGGAGTATCTCTACATATGTAGTGTTATCGACGTTACTGACAAGCTTCCGGCCTAGGTCGGCACTTACGACGTTATATCTGTTGTAGACCTCCAAGCACAGTCCATAACTTGTCACAGCCTACGGGCTGGATATATACACAAGCCCGGTATTGTTGTCCTCGGGGCGTCTCGGGGCGCCTCGAAGACGATAAAAAACGATCTGATAGGGCAAAAATTAAAATCAAAGGTATATTTTTGTTCATGACCTCATTCGATTAAGGCATATTAAGTGTGTATGATAGCCAAGAATTGTCCTTGGAAGTCTTCGAGGCAAGCTTAAGGACAGGTATTGTCCTCGAAGTTCCTTAATTGTCCTTTTATAATTTGGGTCGCTGTCCTTGTGTGTCATCGAGGACATACCCTCGAGACAAGGACGATCGTACTCGTCATGGACCACACTATTAAGAGGGTATTTTGCCTCTCTGGGTCGGGTCTGAGACCCTAGTTAGACTTTTCCTTGTAACATTATACCAGAGTTCCTCCTCTCTATTTCATATGCATGGCTATATATATGCGGGATCTTAATCCCGCTTAAGGTTTAAACATAATTTCCAGATGTTTGGGTTATTTGGAATCCCTGACACAGCCCATGATCAATAGGCCGGTCCTTTTTCAATTAGGCTAATATCTGAGTGTACTCATGGCTAGATGGAAGTTTTTTGTCTACAATATATATATATATATCAGCAGTTCGTCGGTTGTGGTGGCGCAATTGAATGGGCATAAAATAGCCAAATGTGGCCATGGGGATCTACTTAGTGAATGACCAATTATTTCTATAAATATTAGTCCTTCCTCCGAAATTCCAATCAAAATACAAAGGGGTGATCTCAAAATAGTACAGCGAGTGATTTTTCATGCTTGGATAATTGGAATAACTCTAGGTTTTATAGCCCTAACCCATAGTCAACTTTGATTTACACTTTCATTCAATGAGCTAGAATCAGCCGGGTTACTTAAAAGCCACACATCATTCACCAAAGATCGACTAGCTAGCCGCCCATGCATCTATGATAATGTGAATCCCAACCATCAGCCATGCAAAGAGGAATAGCCGCCAGCAAATCACTCAGTGGGCACGCCGATTAATTTGAGGAAACGGATCACGGAAGAGTTCCTTCTTTAGTAGTGAAGCCTCTGGGCGGGGGTACTTAGAGGCGTGGGTGCGCTGTCCGCAGAATCTAAGTCCGCTCTTGGTATTTACGCTTTTGCCAGCGTATACATTTGTGCGAACATTTATTTGCGTTAGTCGGCCTTTTTCCCCCCAGCTAATGAGAGCCCTTCGACAGCTGATAACCATGAGCCTTCTAGGTAATGAGCGATATATATATCTGGGAAAAGCTGTCTCATATATAGTTTTGTCTCAAGAATAGAAATAATCGATCAGTCCACGATGCCGGCTGGGGCCGGGCTAGTGACAGTCACGGGGTCAAAGATGAAACAAAACTTGAAGTAGTGGCCCAAACCACTGATATCGAAAAAGTGAAGAATGACAAGCGAAGAGGAATCTAGCTAGTGATGCTACATGGCTCGAGATACCGACCGCTGCGTTCAAATTGTGGTTATGTTATAACTTATGATGGACGGACTAGAGCTTATGTATGCTTGACGGGCCAAGACGAACAGCAGCTCATGGTAACAGTCTTTCTAAAGTTGGCAACAAAGTTACCACACTCTAGAACTACCAACATTTTCTGAACGCCTCCACTCATCGTTACCAATAGCACCCCGCTTGAATCCTCTGGAGAGACTTGCAATTGAGATTTCCCTATTGCTAATATTAGTTACGCTAGTAATCTAACCAGGGTATCTAGGTCTCAAAATACGGTCAGGCAGTTTAATCAATATAAAGAACACGCTCTCGATGCTGTTTTGTATGCCATGGTCCCATGTCTATGGTCTTGAAACGTTTCGAAACAATATCGAGTGAGTGTTTGTGCGCCAAGCCACACACATTACCGTAATAAAAATTGAAAAGAGTACTGAAAAGGGACCATGATAGGTAAGACAATAGCGATATAACTCAATATTTATAGATGATGTTTGATCTGATTGGCATACTAGAATCAAATCAATTTTCTTAGTCGTCGAAGTGGGTTCTGGCAGACTTTGGCCTACTGGAAAGCCACTTCATGATGAAGTTCAATAACTAGATCTTAGCTCAAGAAGGGACATAAATTTTAAGATCTCAATAATTGCCGATGCAGTAGAGATGGCTTATTGTAATTAATGAGGGAGTAATTAAGGAAGCGTCCCAGATTCGACTCCGCATCAGACATTCGGGGTGATTGAGCATTCATAGCCCTCATAAGCGTTGCTATTTAGTGCCGATTAACTACATGTACATGGGTAATATTTTCATATTACGATCCCCCAGGCTGAGCCTTGGTCCGAGATAGCCCCATAATCTCTGGATACATACATCAGTCCAGCCATGAAGTTTTTGGATGATCTGACTCTCTTCCCAGGCCGAAAACAAAAGTAAATCAGCTGCAACGCGTGTCTACCTACGAATATCTGAAATATCTACCAGTTAATCCGCTTCAACGGCCAAAGCGATACACCGCTGGAGCGCTTCCTTGTTTACTACACGCAGGCTTAAATAAGGACTTAGGCTCGGCCCCCGAAGCTGACATCACCCCTAGTCTGAGATATCGTGGCAGCTTGCGCGTAGGATACCTTACTGACATTCTCCACGGAAACTCTTAAAGATTATAATTAACAAGTATAGTCAAAACAACGAATATATTCAAGACAATTGTTAAAATACAAGTTGCTGAGCAGGTGGTGCGATTCTGGGTTCAAAATACAGACAAAAGTATTTGACCCGTCAAATAACCATGTTTTTTCCTCCAATAAAATGACTAATGATGGAATATTTAAGATTAAGAATATATTTGGGAGTTGTTTCCGGTAAGGGTACCGAAAATTATACTGTGCCAAATATGTCCTTAGTTGAGCGATTTGTGGCCAAGCTTTTCAGAACATATCAAAGCCGCTAAATAGGGCGCAGGTAATCTACATATACTTTGATCACTGGACTGTAAGTGGACGCTACCTAAGGGCTTATTGCCCCGTGTTATCACTTCGCTGTTTGAACCACTTACTAGTAGGCCAGTGCCGTTTATCTGGAAAGGTCGATTACCAATAATCAGTGGATATTTTTCACACGGGGCTGATACATATCTAAGGCCTGAGTAGACTTCACAAAATAATCTGTCCTTGGTCGCCAAAATCGGTTTTTATCGCCGCAGCGTCAAGCTCGAGCATCCTCTAGTTCTATTGGTCTACCTTAAGCTTGCTTGTATTTGTTTTCTATTTAAATCCCACCCGGGTATTATAACTGCATCTCCACCCGGATAATCTCTTGAGATGATGGGGTCACGCCTCATCACTTATCAAGGGAGGAGAGCGTGATAGCTCAAAAGATTGGATTTTCACCCCTCAATGGCACTCTATTCTACCCCACAGACGGATACTAGAGACAATTTTTGTTGTTAGTTCGACTGCGCAAGTGTGCGTTGTCCTGAGTTGTTTGATTGCGTTGCACTTTGTCTTTGGACACTTCGTGACCTACTTATTCAACCTGACCAGTTAATCCAGCTCGTTCGTTGGCTCTCTTCAATAAAGATTACCCATAATAGAAACAGGTACGCTACTGCCACTCTATTAGTGAATATCCTCTCCATATCCCTACATGTACCTAACACACCTCTACTGTTGTAGGAGGTGCAAGGTGATATTCCAAGTGTGATGTGGCATAACGTTAATCTACCTGAAGAAGATACTAGCCACAACGAACATCTTTTACGGCGTTCAAACCCATCCAATTATGGCGACCATAGGCATCTGTTACGAAACCTAGATGTGGGGAGTTTAAGTTACCCCTTAAAGTTCCCAGAGTCAGATGCTGTCTGCGGAGACTTCCGGCCGCGCAGTGGGATATCACTGGATCTGTCCACAGCGAGGATCCACCCTTAAGTTCATATGCACTCCACAGGAGCACAGGTATTTTTCATGGCAACATCCCTGAGTGACGCGACGCCAGTCTACCGCTGTGATCAGTAATAGGTATGTGAGTTCATCCACCTAAAAGTTCCAATAACATTCAGAACGAACCATTATTGATACGAAGCTCTCGTACCACCATGAGGATCTAGGCAAGGCCTTGTCGGCAATAGGAGCTCCCCAAAGCCGCCGGTACTGCAAAAGAGTCCTGTGATGTCAATAAACTACCGAGCAAAATATATCTTTGCAGATTCATGATAATCACCGGGACTTTCCTGATGCTTGTGCAACTAGCCCTCGAAATATTTAGATACGACAGATACTGATGTTACAAATTCACATGCTGGTCTTTACTCTTCATCTGGTGATCAACACATACAATGGCACTGTTATCAACAAGGCTAGGTCTCAGTCGGAACAATAAAACGCCGACCCACCGCGGCCTCTTGTTGAACCAGCTCGTAGAAGCACTTATGACTTGCATCAATACAGCCAAGTTAGTAGTTATACGCGCTCAATCTAGATCTTGGGAGAGGGCCACACCCGTTGGTCATTGAGAAAAAAACCACCATTAACGCCGGCTCCAGCTCCCCGTGGGGAGGAGTACAGGATAGCAGACACCACACTTTCACCACTGAAGTTGGTCGATCCCATCCAGCGGGTTTTGCTTTGTCCTTCTGCCGGATTCGGGGTGCTGGTTTTCCAGATAAGGATGGCTGCAGTATAACCATTCGTAATGGTTAATCTCCTATGTACCACCCGCAGCCGCGGAAAAAGGGACGGGGAACTTCACAGGGCTTCTGGATCATGAAACCAGTCGATTGGCTCAGGAGTTTTCCTTAGACTAAGGTCCCGACAGCCCTGCCGATACACAGGACTCTACCTCAACTCGACGTTTCTGTAGAGAGTAGAGTGGGTAACCTTATATGCAGTCGAGAGTAGAGTAGGTAACCTTATATGCAGTCGAGTTAGAACTCCTGAAATTTTTTTTTCTTTGCTGCAGGATCCAATCCCGAGGGATGGGTAGGGATTTGGAAAGATGCACCGTAAGCTGTTATTTTTGCTTTTTTGTTTTGTGAATATTTTTCTTTTGTTTTTTGGACACCGTACTCTGGGTTGGAGAGGTTGGGCCGGGTTGGTTGTCTCAGAAGCCGTACTGGAATTTGGAATTCCCATGACTGGGGGTCGGAGAAGGGGGGGGGGGGGGGTTATGATATTACGATGGTCCGGTAATTTGACCTACGGGGACCGGCATTATTCAGTTTAAATGTCGAGGTCAATAACGGTCCTGACCTGCCCTTTTTTCCTCCTTTCTTTTTACTACCGTATAAGGTATTTATATACAATCTGCCCTCGCTCGCTACGATAACCATTTATTATATTCACAAGACGGTTCAGTTAGCAATCGACCTGACTCGTTTCCATACTTATTTCTTTTTCTCTCTCTTCCTTTCCTGTAGTGTGCCCTGGATTTTGTATGATATGTATCTACATGTAGAATAGAGCACTTCAGTTCATGCAGTCAGCTTATCACGAAAGCTTATATCTGCGCAGTAGAGAGAGAGCCTTCAGCAGCTGTAGCCTCCACTGGCCAGAGACGGGAACCCCCGTCCTTTGCCACCAACTGCATTTTGATGTGGCAGGAAACGATTGTGCATGCCAAACACAGCCCATCACTCGCAGCATCGCCCAAAGGAAAAATGTCTTGGCCGCCCCCACCTTGGCGCTCGTCATCCCGTAACCGTGCGCCCCCCTAGCAAGGCTTGACTGCTCTGCTCAGCCAGGCTACTACTGCACGTACCGTAGCTGCCAGTACAGTCAACGAAGCAGAGAAGGCGCACTCACTGCGATTCGAACCCGCACCCACCACCGCCCCCTCCGCACCCACCACCCAGGCTAGAACCAGCGATCCAATCATTGATATCACCGACCACCACCATGGCGACAGGCACGCTCCTCTCGCACCTCCCCTTCTCGCCGCATATCCGCCCCCTCCACGCGGCAACATATCTCCTCGGCGTCTCTCTCTTCTCAATCTCCTTCCTCGTCTTCCTCAACAGCTCCGTCTCCTTCGTGGTGACAGACCTCCTCCACATCGCCCCGCCAATCGGTAACATTGTCGGCACCCTCGGCTTCGCCGACGAGCTCGTGGCCATCGTGGCCGCCCCCGTGTGGGGCGTACTGTCCGACGGGCCGCTCGGCACGCGTGGCGTCGCCGTGACGGGCTTCATGATCATTGCGGCGTCGCTGGTGGTCTTTGTGAATGTGCCGAGCGTGTATCCGGGGCTTCTCCTCGCGCGCATGTTCTTCTCGGTCGGCGCCGCGGCAGTGGCCACGATGGTGTCTGCGATCCTCCCGGAAATGACAGCGTCCCCGCTACCGCCGCCGTCGTCGTCGTCGTCGTCTCCGCCGGCTGCCCTCCCGCGCGGCCGTATTGCAACGCCGCCGCCGTCGGAGCTGCCGACGCCGGTGCCGCCGGATGTTGAGGCTGCTGCTGCTGCTGCGGCGGCGACGACGGCACGGCGACACCCGACGGGGAAGCTGGCGGGGCTGGTGGGGCTGTTTACAGGGCTTGGGGCGCTGCTGGCGCTCGGTGCTTTTCTGCCGCTGCCGACGCATTTCGAGGGTGGTCCGGGGGGAAGGGAGGAGGCGGTCAGGAGGGCGTTTTATAGTGTTGCGTTGGTAGCGTTGGCGGTAGGGGTGTGGTGTTTGTTGGGGCTACCGGCGCCGGTGCAGCAGACGGTGCAAGAGGAGGAGCAGGTGTCTCTAGGGTTCCGGGCGAAGCAGTGGTTGTGGACGAAGGTTTGGGGGGGCGATCCGGCGGTGCTGGAGCCGCCAGTGTCCCCGGGGTCGTGTTCGAGCCGGAAGAGCGGTGGTGGTCGAGGGAGTGACCATAGCGGAAGTGGTGGTGGTGGTGGCAGCGGCGGCGGCGGAGGGCTCGTGTCGTTGAAAGCCGCGGTGAGGGCCGGGCTGTATGATAGCCGCATTGCACTCTCGTATCTGGGCGGCTTTGTGGCCCGCTCCACAAGTGTCGGTATATCGCTATTCATCCCGCTGTTTGTCAACCACTACTTCATCGTCAGCGGCAAGTGCCCTCCCGACTCACAGGACGACCCGAAGCACGGCTGCCGCAAGGCGTATCTGCTCGCTGCGGCGCTGACGGGCATGTCGCAGCTGAGCGCGCTGCTGTGCGCGCCGCTGTTTGGCTACTGGAGCGACCATCCGCCGTTTGGCTCTCACCGGAACACGCCGCTTATACTGAGCGGGGTGCTCGGCGTGGCGGGATTTGGGGGGTTCGCCATGGCGCGGGTTGCGGAGATGTCGCCGGGGGTTGTGGCGTGTGTGGTGTTGATGGGGGTGGCCCAGATTGGCGGCATTGTGGGCTCTCTGGGCGTTATGGGGCGGGGCATCGTCGAGGAGGAAGAGATCGAGGAGATGGGCGAGGAGGAGTATGTGTACGATGAGGATGCGCGGGAGATTGGCGAAGAGGAGCCATTGCTGAGGAGGAGGGACAGCGGTGGGAGTGGTGGAGCGGAGAGCGGGATCGCGGTGACGGGGAGGGGGAGGAGGAGGAGGAGGAGGAGGGACGTCAAGGGCGGGATTGCGGGCGTGTATAGTTTGTGCGGTGGGGCGGGCATTCTGGCACTGACAAAGCTGGGCGGGTGGGGCTTTGATGCCGTGAGCGTTGGATGGCCGTTCTGGATGCTGGCATCGTTTGAGGGAATGCTGGTTGTGGGCGCGGTGGCTGAGGCCGTGTGGGGGCGGAAGTAGCTGGCCGTGTTTCTGTTAGTTATCAGTTAGCTGAGTACATGCATTAATGGTTTATGAGAGTGTTGCTGGAAATGATATATGGGTTTGCATGTAGCGATTGGAGGTATTTGTACGTCTTTTTTCTTTCTATTTTTTGTTGCAATTGTCTTTCTCTGTTTGGTGTCTTGCATGTTGCCTATCTGCAGATATTCTGCGCCTTGGATTTATATTGGGCGAGTCGCACACAGATAATCTCACCCTTTCATCCACTTGGTATTGTCAAAATGGTCGGATATCAAGCGGGATGATATCTTCCTCGACTGGCAATCCACTTTTGCTCTTCTTCAATGGCCACTACTTTGATGCTAGTTAATGAAATCCTTGTTGCTGCAACACTGGGCCATGGTGCATCACGAGTGGTCACTCGCTAGTCTTGGCATTTCGGGTTTTTGTTTTTTTGTTTAATTCATCAATTTTGGCATTTCGGGTTTTTAAATACGTAGCATGGCGTTAGTAACGAATTCGAACATGATGTAGCAATACCGCTGCCTGTCATCGCTAAGCAGCCGTGCACGGAAAGCAGATGAAGGGTTGGCTGCGGATACCTTTTCAGCCGCCGATTAAGCCTTCCGTGGTGGGGGGCACGGTCAAAGACGTGAATCGTTATACCGAATTGAAGATAAACAACCCGTCAGCATAGGAGGCGACAGGAGCGCGTTTTCGATTTACATGCGGACACGAACACACCTAGAACCGTTCTGAACTTAGCATCCTGTTTGTAAAGCTAGAGAGGACCGCATGCAACCTCTCCACTGGGCCCCGGCCAGCAATACAGTATACTGAATAGACTCCCGTCCTACAAAGAGTAGCCTAGTGCCACCACGTACACGAGAGCCAGCACAATTGGGTTGGTTCTTGCCCAACAAGTACTACTTGTGCATAAACAATTCTGAAGATTACTTCCAAACAGAAAATGAATAAACAAAACTCTCTAACCGGCTCAAACGAAACGATACACGTATGTAAAGAAGCCAGCCCCGCTTAAGTTGTGCCAGCGCAAAACTAAGATTCCAACTAGAGCTATAGTTCGTCCATCAATCTGTGAAACCTCCTCAAACATGCTAGCTATCTACGCCCTACCTACCCCTCGCAATTAAAACCTTACACCCACGATTCTTCAATTGAATATACGCCCAACCCAATCCTTCTTCCCTCAAACCCAAGGCTCAACCAGATGTTTCTCTTCCTCTGGTAGCCGGCGGCGGGAGCTCTCACTAGCACTACTAATCCCTGGAGGTAAATCGATGGAGTCCCCACGTCGCGCACGGCTTGTACTAGCTAGGTGTAGAAAATAGATCAGTGGCAGATGTGCATATTGTCGTGGTCCCTCACTTTTCAGGATTTCGAGTGTTCAAGGTCTACGCGGATCAACTGGCGCTTAGTGCCTGCGAATGTACCTGCATCCGCACTGAACCCAAAAAAACCCGCACCGAGCCTAGCGACATAACCGCAAGGAAAAATTCTAGTACTCTCTGTTTTTTTTTTTCCCTCCCCTTCTAAAAAGAGTCGAATTAAATACAAGACCCGCTCTAGCGGTTAAGGCTTTAAACGTGGTTTCTCAATATGAGGAATTGAGCCGCGGCCGGAGGATGGTTATTTTAAGCGCGAAACGTTTCGCGTTACATGTGTGCACATAACCACTAACTACATACTAGCAGCTGTCAAGACTATTGCGGTGAACAATGCCCTCGGCGCGTGCGGATGGGGGGTCATAGAGGTACATGTAGGTTTGACATGTGGTATGTTGTTGCAATTGCTTGCCTGGCCATGGGTCTTTTGTTGGTGAGCATGAGGCGCAGATCTAGATATCTCTTGATACATTTCCTATATATTGCTAAAGTACCGCTGTACATAACGGAAGTAACTATAGAGCCGGCTACATGTATAGCTGCGTATCAGCCACCTCCTCTACGATAACTAGGCATGGATTTGCGAGTGGCCGTAATTATAAGCGCTCCTTTCATTTCTAACTTTCATGCTGAGCGCTCATGAGCAGGTTCGGGGGATCCAGACCGGACTAGACTAAAGGAGCTGGTGATAATCAGGCCTTTTTAATTTTACAGCCCGGTATCTGTGCGACGTTTAACCAAGCGTTAAGGTACCGTCGGCAGTAATGCCCACATGATTCAAACTCACATTTCCTGATACATAGCGCCGGGTTGAGAGAGAATACGCCTTGCTGGGTAATAGGGGAGTAAGGCCGACTTGGCCTTTTTATAGACCCTTTGAAGAGTCATGGGAGCTATGTGAGCATGGGCTTGCGCTTGTTAATATGTTGGTGGTGGTCGTGACTTAATTAGAATCCTGGTTTAGATATGAGTAGTTTTGATGTCATAGCCGCCTTTATGAGATTAACCACCCAGTGCTAAGGTGGAGTCATATGTCAAATTACAACTACAAGTAGGACCTTTTTATGGTCTTATTCCTGGTGAGCCTAGCCCGCTAGGGTTCAAACTCTGCCTTGTGTCGAATAGACACATGACCACAAGGTTACATTAGTTTAGTCCTCGAAGCTTCTCGCTCGGGCGTTGACAGAAATCTTCTAGAAGATTATCTAAGCTCTACGATAGCTCATATGACAGCGCCCAGTCTGTAGAGATGTCGTAATCTGCAAGTAACTAACTAGTAAACGGGACGGGTGCGCCAAATCATAGAATATCACTCGCACATAAACGTGCCTGGTGCGACTTCATGAACCTGTGAACATGCCAAAATAAAGGAGAAAAAAAAGGAAATGGTACTTTTACTAAGGATTGTCTTATCATCAGTTCATCCCTTGGAGCGTTTCTTGGTCTGAAGTCTTCTTTCCGCCGTTGCTCGTGATCGGGTCGATTTATGCACCGATGAGCTGTGTAGTTTCATCAATGATTGAGATTACCGTAGGATTGATGAAATCTAGGAGTATGTATTCGCTCAATGGACGTGGGTACCGCATTCTGTATTTGACACAGAGTGCATTAGATAGTACTTGAGTGATTGGATTCTCCTACTATCGCTATTCTTGATAGTAGGGCAGAGATGAAGAAGCCAAGGTGTACAAAGCGGTCCGTTTGCCAACTGTGAGAGTATATTTCTCTGTAACGTTAAAATTGGCGCCGTATGCTCACTGCTTCTGTAGTAGCACAAAATAGTAAATTGTAAATGCTGACCCCTCCGGTTTTAAGTTCCCAACGTTTTTGATCCGGCCGAGGTGTTTAACAGCGTAATCCCTCTCCTTCCATGTAATCCACTCACCCTCTGGCTAGTATAGTCCGACCTCACGGCCGGCCCGCCATCGAGGTTCCGGGAACAAAAACCAGCCGCAGCGCCATAATCTCCCAGTCCACTGTCATCGCACACCGCATCCGGATCTCGGGACTTACACGCGGGGGACGCGGACGTGTGTGCGGCTTTAATCGCGGGCGCTACCTGGGCATGATGGATCTTCTAAGCTGTTCATTGGTTACAATCCTACTGACGGGGAGCGGCGTACCGGATAGGAGGGTCAGGGCAACGTCAAAGAAGATGATAGGTATGTAGGATCAAGGGCTCTGTGGTACTTGGAGCTAGGCCGAGTGGTTCGAGGATGGGGATAGGCGGGGTTTTCGCTGGTTGGCGTTACTGCGTTAATTGATGTGCGGTCTGTTTATATGTGAGTAGCCGGATTGGTTCGCTGGGTTGGAGCACGGTGCGGATTGACGAGTGGGACGTAGTCGGGCTTGCTCAGGTGGAAGATGCCATTGGTCGCTCGGTAGGGTGTTGGATTACGTATGATGCTTTCACGCGAGTGATAATTCATGACTCGGTCAAGCTGCTTGGCAGAATTGTTCTCCATTAGATACATATATAAATACATGTACATGTACACAGATATATGCAAGTAGCCACATCACACGGTACGCGGCCAATAACTTTCACCACATCTGTCTCTCCACCGGGTGACTCTTCATCCAACCGGCCACTACAGAAACCCGAGTAAACCAGCCACTACCCCTCGCATATCCATCATCGTCCGACTACTTCATTAATTCACGGCTACTTGCAATCTGCTACCTCTCGACGAGGTGATGATGATTGAAGCTGGTCTTCGCGCAAGACCACTAGTCGTGCTCGAGAACCTACCGTTCCCCAACGCGGTCATAGCGGTAGATGGGTAGTTTGGGTTCACAATCTTCACATTCCATATCAGCATCAACAGTTCAACTCAAGATTGTGTGATAGAGTGGTTGTACTGTACCTCCAGTGACAGTATGGAGGACCCATCGGTCACGCTGCTACGAGCCTCGATAGCCAATGTGCCTGTACCCCTCCTATTTGAGTAATCCTGCGAGACGAGGGTTATCTAAACAATCATTATCATGCACATTAGCAACCGTCTCTTTTGATAAACGATTCTCGTCGAAAACATATCTGATATCTCCGGCCATAACACCATCGGGAAAGGAAGCTCACCGTATCTGGCAACGATGCCACAACGCTAACCGCCACTTTATCCGCGCTATTCCCAGCCGCATTGCTGACCTGGAGCTCGAATTCCATAGTCGTCGGCGTACCTGGCGCAGTGAACGTACATGTCTTTCCGTCCGTGCTGCAGCTAAGTACCATCGTTGTCCCAGCACTGGTCTGCAGCCATTTGTACGTGAGTGTATTCTCTGGGAGGTTTGAGGTGTCGGTGCGGCCACTGAGGGTTACTACTTGCCCGACGGTGACGGATATATCGGGACCGGCGTTGGCTACCGGGACTGCCGGGGCTACATTATTGCAGACAAGGGCTGCATCGGCTCTAACACCTATGTGTAGATTTCTGGTTAGTATCACTCATGCCAAAGACAAGAGAATATATACCTGGCCATGGATCCAACCGCCCCACAATGGGTCCATTTAGGTCTTCCGCCGCTCCGGGGATACCGCCCAGCCACGGCCCCGCACCCTTCGCCAGCCATGGCAACTCATCAAAATCAAACACAACCTCTGGGTTCCCA